AACGATTTCCACAAGTTTCGCTGCTCCCAGAAAGCAGAAACTGACGCCCAGCTTGAATTCCACGCGCCCATCTCGCGTGACGCTCACACTGAAAACCTCTCGCGCTCGTCGCCAGAGGTGCGCTTCGCGCGGCGACGGCGTGGCAGTCTATAATTTTCTTGCTTCTCGCCCTCTCTCTTGCTCCCCCCCCTTCCGCCCAGGCCGAACAATATTCATATCGCTTTTTCCATATGCCAACATGAATCCAGCAATGTTACCGACCATTGTTGGTGAGTATATAAAACTTTATAGATATTTCTAGTAATACAATCGATCAATCAATCAATGTGTTAACAAGTACATCGACAATAAATTAATAAATAAGGCCAAATAAGTTATTATCGCTACGTTGTAAAACCATCTCGTATTCAACGAAACATGTGAACATGCACAAAACTGCACACATAGGCATTGGTGCTCTCTTAAGTAACTTATTGTAATACTTAACACAACCTTTCTTGACTATACTAACATCACAAAAACGCATTTTACATTATTATAATATGCATCAAACATCAGCGGCTAAGCTGAGGATGCCTAGAAAAGAGTCGTTTGCCTCTCTATTCATCCTAAAACATGCCCATTCATTTTTGATCATCGTGCGCGACAAGTATCGATTAGGGCACATCTATCGCAAGTTTTCCCCGTCAATAACAATCATAACAAGGAGAAAGAAATGTAACATTTGAAAGTTCAAGACGACAAAACCAACAACGAAACATGAGTGGATAGGAGACATGAGCAGATTCAATCAGCTAGCATCACAACAAGTAGTCTCGACAGATTCACAAAAAATGATAAATATTTGAAAAATGGTGGGCCCTCAAAACACACAAAATGGAGCCGATCAGCTGAAGATTCGAAACATCGTTCGAGAGAGGCAAAATTTGTCTTACGAACAAAATCACAGATCTTACACCTTCACTGGTCTGCTAGGACTTCATTTCTGGACTTGATAGCGGGTTTTGTATTCGTAATGCCATCGATTGAAATCGACATTGAAAACAACAATTGATCCAGAGTCCAGTCCAGCAAGAACAAATCGATGATTTGCTGACACTGCTACCGAACGTATCGCACTGTCCACTTGCTGAAGAACGAACGATTTGAACACTGATTGTAAACAACCCTTAGAAAGTACTAGTCTATGGCTGCTCCATACTTCGGGGCGGGAGATGGGCAAGAGAATCGTAACTTGCCGCGCCGCCGTGTAGTCGCGAGAGAGCGGGAAATTTTCAATGTGAGCGATACGCGACGAAGGACGCGGGGAATTCAAACTGTGCGTCAGTTTCTCGAGTTTCTTTGCATACTTTTATTAACATTGGTTTCTGCTCAATTAAATCAAAAGCAGTCGCGACTGTCGCTAAGTAACAGCAGACTGCGTTAGAAATATAAAAGCACGAAGAGCCCCAGTCAGAACCGCTAACGGCTGGCGCTTCAGTAACACCCTTTCCCGTCATTTAATATTTTCAGATTTGAATAGTTAGGCGGGAAAACCCGTCTCTCGCGACGCGGCGTCGCTCGCTACGTCGTGCAGCGCCGGCAAAATGCGATTCTCTTGTCATACACCCCACTGGCAGGTTCCACCAGCGTTTCGAGGGTACGGCGGCAGCGACTGGGAAAGTATAGATATCGATCTGGCGTCTGCCCAGCGTCTCACAGCGTTCACCAGCGTTTACCAAGTGCACCAGAGTTTACTGTCCGGGAGAGAAGAGTACAGCGCTATAGCAGGGTACCAGACACCTACCAGCACTCTGCTACCCTCCTAGCTCCCCATACTCTACCAGCTGTCTGCTGCCCTCTTATCGCGCCATACTCTCTACCAACAGTCTGTTACCACCCTATCTACCCGTACTCTCTCAACTGCCTGATACCCGTACCTATCCATACTCTCTTCTGCCACACGCTGGCAGAAACTATCTATATCTATACTTTGTCTGTCGCTGACGTTGCCGTACACTCGAAACGCTATTGGACACTGCCACGAAGTATGAACGCAGCCCACACAACAAGGAGGTAAACAGGAAATGCACGTCGAAACTATTTTGAGTAAGGTGGTTACAGACTCATTCAGTCAACATTAAAGCTCCTTTTTTTTCTCGAGTCACCAGTTACACTTTACTGCCCCACTTTTCGAAGCTTGCTCAAAGTCTTGGCACGCTTGAAATTTATTTGTAAGGGTTGTGAGAACCTTTCAAATTCTTATGGGTTATATGAACCCCTGAATGCCCTGAATGTCAGGTCCGCGGAGACGAAAAAATGTCGCGGAGGCCTATTACAAGTGTGGGATCAAAACTTTTACAAGGGGAGGATGTTAGGTCGCAGTGACTGTTTCAAATAAGACGTTAGCAATCTGCTCGTTGGGCACTGACTGGGCGATGATCGTCTTCCAAATCTGCTGCAGACCTCTCTGAGGGAAGTTATGGAGGTTCATAGATAGGTGCACCCCTGCACTTAAAACAAACTTCGGACGTGCCCGGAATTCGTACTGGATGCGGAAAAGCTCCCACTGAAAAACTTCTTTGCCTAGAAACTTTGTCTGTTGACTTTGTCTAGAAACTGTGTTTAGAGAAGTCCGCAGCAGATACGAAAGAGGGATTTGGAATCACTATCCCCAGACACACTTATCGGCATCCTTTCTATTTACGACCATTTCGACCTCCCACCATTCCCTGATGAAACAAAATCTTAAGGATCTGCATTAAAAAGTAACTTGACTTGAGAAAGGATGCACGAATACCAGTCATCACCAACCGTCTCCTTGAGGAGCTGTATTAGAGTTTGAGAAGAGTTGAGGGTCAAATGTCTCGTGTGAAAAGTATGTGTTATTCATGTCCAGAAGGTTTACCCGGGCACTTTTCAGTGATTTCGCTGGTCTCAGGTGTTCCGATACCGTCTGTAGCGCGGTCACCACGTAATTTTGTGCCAAATGGACTCGATAATCGTGTCCAAGGGATAGAATTTTTAGCTTCTACTGTTGAAGCTGGCTCTCGAGAAAAATCCAGCCACTATTCTATAAACGGAACAGTGAAGGGTGAATAGGTCTTCCCTGGAACGTCGCAGAGCAAAAGGGAAAAGTAATTCGAACTGTGAGCAAACCTGGAAGGCATATAGCTTCTGCAGTGGGAACAAGCGCCAAACCGTACAGCGTCCATTTTCCGATCCTGTGATCACGTACTCACCATCTCTTGTCAAACATGCGCACTCTACCCTGAAAAGAAGATCCATAAATTTCCTTGTAGCGTGAAACGAACATATAAAGAACGCACTTATCATCGGCAACAGCCTCGTCGAGCTGATTAGCCGTCGTCGTTAACGTGACGAAACTGTGGTGACCGTAAATGGCCATCACAACACACTCTCGACTCATCAGCAGCTGCGAAACCCGTTGTCGACTACTCCATCGTCGCAGAAGTTCGCCAGACGTCGTGTGCATAAGTATGGTGCCATCTAAAGAAGAGGTTTCAAAAGAACTGACAGCGAAAGTGTCGGCGCTGCCTTCGCGAGTGAGTTTTTATTTTTCAGTGCAGATGACGTCTTACAGCACGAAAATTAGTGCTAAAAATTAAGAAAACAAAAACAATATCATTAATATTTTAGG